TACAATTTTTTGTATTTCTACTATCGACTACTTGCGCATAAAATTATAAAGGTTTGGTAAGAACGACAGAATATTCCGTATGACTCATTGAAGCATACGATGGTAAATGAAAGAAAATAAACGATCGTTTTATATTTTATTATAAGAAGTTTATTTCAAAACGAATCGATAGAATAAATCATAATAAGATCGATCAACTTTTAAATCTTTATCGTATGTTTTTTTTAAGCTTGTTACAGAAAATAGAAATATGACGTATGCATCAATTTATTAGAGTACGAAAGTATATTATGCAGTCAAAAAAACAGGCGTTCTTTTCTAAAAAGAAAATATTCAAAGTATTTATTGTGGGAATATGTCATGCGAAAGATTGGTGTGATTGTTATGGATCGAAATGTTAAAAGCATGTTTTCGATTCTGACAGATTTAATAAATAGGTTAAATTAGATAGTTTATTTGACTCGAACAAAGGAGTGCATCTAACCATAGAGTACAACCAGTAATAAGACATAAATTATAATATATAATCCAGTAAATCTATCATTTTGTTAAATAGACATGTATATAATTAAAGAAAAACAAATCTTTATCAATCTAGGTTTATAGTTTGAAATCTATTTATCAAGAATTCGAATTTAATTGTTTTCAAATAGTCATTGAATTAATTATTTTATATAGTTTGTAAAAAATCAAAATAACTTCTTTTCAGCAAGAAATTATTGGAGAGAAAAAAGTTCTTTTTACATCTTTAGATACATAGGTATTGAAGAACAGATGCAATCGTTTTAAAAACCAAAACTATAAAATTATCATTGACATTTGTTGGAATCAGTACTAATTTCTATTTGTCTGTATAGAGATAGACGAGTACAAATCATGCATGTGTAGGTGGAAATGAACTTTAGATTAAATATGTTCATTAATAAAAAACAAGGACGTGTCTGTTGAGACAAAGAAAAATACATCATGTTCATATAAATGATTTTGTATAAGATTATATAAGTCGTGGTTTTGCAACGAACTTATGATAAATTATAAAATATATTATATCATAAATATTTAACTATATTAGGTAGGCTGTATTATCTGCAGAGGCGTTTAACCAATTTCTTTATCAGTTAGGTATACTTATATAAAGACAATATTGATATTTTTTAATTATCATAGAACTATGTAGATAATGTACTTCCTGATTCATTTATTTACATCGAAATTCTTTGAATAACATATCATGACGACTTTGGTATACCACGCATGCATATATATAGAGAAAATTTCCAATATATGATTCAGTATAAGAATTCAATTAATATTTTTTTTTCATCGAAACGAACATTCACATCTTTTTTCATATAATAAGATGCAGGTAAGTATCTGATATTTTTTTAAAATACATCGTAGTTTATTTCGTCTAAATTGATATCTAAAAATTGTTTTTTTCTTCCATTGATTTCTTGTTGAGAAAAGATCGAATTATTGGTTTGTTGTTAAAATATAACCTTGATTCATTTCGTGACATCATTCATGTCAAAAGATAAGTCAGAAATTTTTATATAATTTGTAAATCATCAATATATTCTATTGAATTCATTTTTTATGCATAAGATGTTTTGTGTCCATGAGATAGAAACAAAGAATAACATCCACGCACAAACATACTAAAGAAAATCTTCTTATTCTATTTTATCAATGAATAAAATAGTATAATGAATCAACTGATAGATAGACAGTAATTATTACTATTTTTAGAGAATGAGCTGCTATTTTATCATATTAATTTATATAGTTAAGATTTTAAATACATCTATTTGATTTCAAATTATCCCAAAGAGAAATTTTTTATTATTAAAAATATGAAACTATATATATAAATTTGCTTTTGAATACTATTCATAGGCACCTAGTAAATAAGAAAATCTGTTTCCGATGTATTGTACAAATTCTAATAGAAAAGAAAATTAGTTGAGCATACGCCAAGCATGATTCTCGTTTCCTTTTTACTTGAAAACATTATTTTTCCTTTTTTCTTCTTCTTCTTCTTTTTCCCTTCTCAAAATGATTGATATGAAGAGAAGTAAAGCCCACGTCGTTCATTAAAAGAAAGATGACATACAACTTTAGTTCAAAGTCATGCATAAAGCAAATGAATGCAAGTAGATACAAACTGATTCTTATATGAACATAAACTATTTATATGTCTCTAATGAGAATTGAATTGTTTCTTAGTTTTATATACTTTTTTTAGATTTATTTTCTTTATCTATTTAACAGACAAATCGATTCTTACTATGTCCTCAGTAATATTTTTCTTTCTAATATTAAAATTCATCTATATTTCTTTTTAATTCTAGTTGATGTCAATTTTCAATATCAATTTACACATTTTCACCCTTTTACTGTTACTACTAATTTTCGTTGCTAAACAGCAAATATCGGCCAATAGTATCTATCGTGGAAATCCTTATGAATCTCAATCAAGCCTATTCGACGATGATCAATTAAATCTGGAACCTTCAAGTGATAATTTATTTTATGAGCCAATTGACAATGCTAAATCTTTGACAATTCGTCGATTGAGAACATATCGTTCAAATTTTGTTCAAACAATGCCACATATTAGTGTACGAAATGGTGTAGTTCGTTTAATTCCATATAAAAAACGTACTACAATACCACTTGAACTTCAAAAAGCTTTATATGCTCATGGAATTGTTGGCCGTCGACGTTAATCAATGAAACATACAAGAATCACAAATAATAATATAAGAGCAATAAATTATACAGAATTTATCTTTATTTTTATTTCAATCTAATAAAAAGATTAAAAAGAAAATATATAGAGAAATTTTTTTATTAATAATTTTATGCATTAAAAATCTTTATTGACATGAAATTCCAGGAATTCAGTAAATATTATCCTTCTGGTCTATATTTGATAATATTTATGAAAGAAAAATAAAATGTCAATATTTGATAATAACTTAACACATGAATATATAAAATAGTCAAATGGAATTTGGTATAGATAAACTAAATATCTTTGGACTTTGATCGATATTCTCTTTATATGAAAAAGATTTGTATTGAATTTCAAAATGCATATTTAATTCTTATAAAAGCAAATTAAACAGTTTCGAATGGTTAAGTTCACATCGACATTCAGTATTTGTTATTTCTATTTTAAACAATAAAAAATGAATATAAACAGAATTATTTTTCTAATTTCCGTTGTTAAATACGTATGGACTCATTATTTCTTCAAAGGGTAGGCCTGAATTTTTGTCTGGACTTGCGTAATTAATTTTATTATTATTAAAACACATATTTAAAAATATCTCCCTTTGATCAAACGATGCCCTACGAAATAAATTATGAATGACCTTTCCTAACTCCTATAATAAGATATAAGTATAGACTTAATGATATGTTTCAACGGGACAAGTCTATAACTATCTCATTATATGTCTATCCTAATACTACAATCAATAACTTCAAAAATTAATGTGATGAAATTTCAATAAGATAATCTATGTCTTCCAATTCTCTAATGAGTTTTTCTTCATATACATCGGAATTCAGAAAACACAATTCTTAGAAAGAAAGATGTCGCAATCGATCAGTATATGTTTATTGCTTTTAATAGTGATTCATCAGCAACTATCAAGGTGCTTTTGTTTTTTGTATTCGATTGAAACCAACTATTTTTCATTTTTCATAAAAATTGTTTTAAAATGCCGCGTCACAAAATTTCACCAACATCGGTTACAACTAATGAACAAATGGTTTATTATTTATTAACTTCCGAGGAAGTTTTAGCTGAAATTACTAAAACAACTAAAGAAGTTAATGAAGTTCTTGGTTTACCATCAACAACATTAGTACGTTTATTATTGAATCATTTTCATTGGGATAAAAATACTTTAACAGGTCAACTATTTAGTTTTAAAATAAAAATAATAAAATTATTTTTTTATTATTTAGAACGTTTTTATGATGATCCAGAAAAATTATTTGAAATACTTAATGTTGCTAATCCATATTTATCACCATCACTTCAATGGAATCCTCTATCACCTGCAATTGGCTCTCAAACTGATCCTATGCTTTTTTTAAGTCAACAACCAACTGATAACGGAAATGCTACTTGTCGAACGTAAAAAATTCATATGAAAAAATAATCAATTTATTTCTTCCCTTTTTAGTTGTTTAAATGAATGTCCATTAAATGAATTTTACTCTTTACGATGTCGACATCAACATTGTTTAGAATGTTGGCAAAATTACCTTGAACAAAATATATTTCAAACAGGTTGTGGACGAGCAATATTTTGTCCATCTCGATGTACTCAAATAATAGATGATGAAAAAATTTTAGAATTATTATCAAATAAACCAAATCTTCGTGAACAATACGGAAAATTTTTAATTAATGCATTTGTTGAAACAAATCGTTTAACACATTTTTGTCCAGGTAATGGATGTACAACTATAATTAAAATGAAAAGTTATACACCTAAATGTGCACAATTAATTGAATGTGATATGTGTAAAACAACGTTTTGTTTTCAATGTTCAAAACAATGGCATGAACCAGTTCAATGTTCATTATTACAAAAATGGGAACAAAAAAATCTCGATGAATCAATGACAGGAACATGGATGCTTGCTAGTAAATATTTAATTCATTTTCTGAATAAAATAACGAAAAAACAAATTTGTATTTAGATACAAAAGAATGTCCAAAATGTCATTCGAGTATTGAAAAAAATGGTGGATGTAACCATATGAGTAAATGAATTTGAAAGATTTATTTTTTTCTTAATCAATTTATTTTAGCTTGTAGAAAACCAGGATGTGTTCATGAATTTTGCTGGTTATGTTTTGGTAGGTAATATATTTAGTAGAAATCAAAAATTGTAATATTTTTCTATTGTAGGTGATTGGAAAGGTCATACGCAATGTAATGTTTATCATCAAGAGGCAAGTGAAAAAAATCAATCTGAAGCTCGGGAAATTCTTGCACGTTATATGCATTATTTTACACGTTATCAAACACATAATCAATCACTTGAATTCGAAGGTAAATTATTAGATCAAGTTGAACAACGTAAAAAAGAAATGCAAAATGAATCAATGACATATACTGAACAACAAGCCGTACAAAAAGCATTTGATGTTCTTCAACAATGTCGTCGTACACTTAAATATACATATCCATTTGCATATTATTTAGAACGAAGTAATTTATCGGAAATATTTGAACAAAATCAAGCTGATTTAGAACGAGCAACAGAAGCTTTATCGGGATTTTTAGAAAATGAAATTAACGTTACACAAAATCAAATAGTACAATTAATGGATAAAACAAGTTATTGTGAACAACGAAGAAAAATTTTAGTTGATCATTGTAAAGATGGCTATAGTAAACAATATTGGAACTTTAATCTGTGATTTTTGTCTTTTTTTTTATTCTTTTATTTTTTTTACCAAAGATGTTTATAAGAATAAATTTTCTTATATATTTTTATTCAAGATGACGAGTTATACATTAGGACAAAAATATATTTCACCTATTAAACCTGAACGAGGTGTATTTCCTTTAGATCATGAAGGTAGATTGATGACATCTAATCATTTTTTTATTTTCTATTATATGAATTCTATATAGGTGAATGTAAAGAATCAATGCTTAAATATATGTTATGTTTATCACGACATGATAATAAACCAAGTAATTGTCAAGATGAATCAAAAACATATTTTCAATGTCGAATGGATCGGTATAAAGAAATAAAAGAAAATTTATTTATACATTTAAATATTATTTTTAGAAATTTAATGAAGAAACATGAATGGGAAGATTTAGGCTATCATCATGAACAGCAACAACAACAGCAAAAATAATTTCAGCAGAAAATATAGGACAATTATGAAAATTTTGCTTTTTTGTATTGTAAAGATATTGATGATTAAACTTTTCATATATCTATTTACTGTTTCTATGAATAGTTTTCAAATGTTAAAGTCATACACATTTTCATACATATGTAGAAATATACTGATAGTTTTTGTCATGAAATAATACAGACGTCTTGTTTTATTATATTTAGTTTGTTACAGAAATCTCGAAATTTCTACACGAGAGAAAATTTTCTTCTATTCATAATATAGTTAATTCTAATAGTTTTACCAGATAAATATATTTCATAAGCAAATATTGAGTTTTGTTTTTTTTCTTTATTAATTTAGTTTATTAAAAATGTTTTCATCCATATTTCAATCATCTCGATCGATTATAGGAATAATATATCGTTCATTTTCATCCAAACGTATTCCACGTCGTTCAATTTCACCACAATTACTATTTTATAAGGATACAACATCTGTTTTTGGTCCACAACAAGCAATTCATGAAAAGAAATCTTCAGAATCAAATCGATTGAATTTAAGTCATGTAAATCCAAAGAAAGAAGCATTCGAAAATGATACAGAATTATTATATGCTAGTACAAATGGATTACATCGTGTTTGTAGTGTTGAAAAAGGTATTTCTATAAGAGAACGTCAAAAATATTTACGTCATTTATTTCGTATTCCACGTGGTCAACGTTTATCTTTATTTCCACAAGCTTATATACCGAATAAATATTTAGGCTTACGAAAAAATAAAAACAAATAAATTGTATATTATCTGAAAAAATATATTTCTCTATTTTTTAGATAATAATAACTATCATTTATTTACTCAAGTCTAATTCTCTCATTAAATTTAATAAATTAATGTAACTGTATATTATGTAAATAATATTTCTATTTTAAAATAAATTTAATCAAACGATGTGAAAAGTATACACATATTTTATATTGTTGACAATGTCGGTGGCAGCCTGAATGGTAGATGAATCTTTGGTTATAGGTGTGGCGTAGATCTATACAGGGATGCGCATCCCACAGGCAGCATATCTATGAGTAGATGTGAATGTTTCTCTTTTTTTCAAAAAACACACATCCCTCATGATTTAAATAAAATATTGCTTATTCAGTACAAGTCATTTTTATATAAAAGACAAGGCGTATGCTATATTAACTTCATTTTATATACGTGAGATTAATAAAAAAACAAATATCTACAATAATGATTTATTGAGTGTCTATATCTTTTCATTTTCATTAATTCTTTCTATGCTATATTCATCATCTAATATGAGTAAGTATTAATATTAAATTATATTGGTATAATCATAAAGCTTCATGACAACATACAAATGTTATATATATATATACATAAAACAAGCATACTTTACAATACAATCTAATTTACTTTTTTTTAATAATAAAAAATCTAATACTTACACACAATAGATATCATAAAAATGCAATACTTTCAATCAATTCATATATATTTTTGTATATTACTACAAATATTTCTCTTTTTTTTCCTATTAACAAGACATGATCCTTGATAAACCTGTAAATATAACAAAACATTATAAAACTAATGGCTCATGTGTAGGTCAAGGTCTTATACGTAAACAACGTATTGAACGTTGGGTAAATAAAGGTAGAAATGATATATACATACTAATTCTTATTCGCATAATTGAATGAATAATTATTTTAGAAAATACATTTTTTCAAGTTGATCGTGTACTTAATACGAAATTATTTCAATTAGGTGAACAACGAGAAAAATTAATTAAACAACATAATTATCATCAAAAAATATTTGCTAATAAACAAGCATTACGTCATAAAGATAATGAATCTATACTTAAGTAATTATTTAAATGAATCCAATCAGAAACTTTTTTTGTTTTTTTAGTACATTAAATTATGTTCGAAAATGTTGTAAACATTTTGATGAAGATAATTCAACACAATCTCTTGAAGAGAATAGTACAATGAAAATAAATCGTTCTCGATCATCAATAACAAATGTACCAAAATCAAAACGAAATTCATCATTAAATACTAATAGACAATCGAATAGTTCACTTACAGATATGTTTGTTCAACATAATAAAAAACATATTCAATCATTAAGAAAAATGGTATGTCAATATAAAAAAAAAAAGTAATGACTAAAGACGAACTTTTTTTGTAATATTTTAGTCTTCATCAACAGTACCAATCAAAGATGAGGATAATCAATCACGTCATGTTCAATTTCAGACGAATATTGAACGAAATATTCAATCTGCTTATGTATCAAGAAAAGTTGATTCATTAAATACTAAACAATATAATCGAAATGTTACATCAGCTCATAATGATTTACAAATTCCTACAATGAATTCTCTTTCTCTAATAACAACAATTGATAATAAAGAAGAAAAACCAATTAAACCTAAAATATATTCATCAAAAAATTTACTTCAAGAATTTCGTCAACATCCTGAACGATATCTAAGTAAAACAAATCGTTATTTACCATTACTTCGTCGTCAAGCTATGAAAAATCGTTCACAAGAATCTTCTACAAAAATACCTGTACAACATTTATCAACTGTATGTCCACTTAATGATGGATCTGATATAGCATATGATGATGCGAAATCATTTCTTAGTGAAGAAATCGAAATAAAGTTTGTTTGAAAAAAATTTTATCTTTTACAAATTTCTTTTTTTATTTATTTAACTAGAAAAACTACTGTCAGTTCACATAATGCTAATCGTCAAATCAAAACAAAATTTCATGTACCAACAAAAATCGATTTAATGGAAACAGATATTATTGAAACATCAGAATATCGGATAGCATTATCACGTGCACGTGATCGTGAATATAATCATTTAAATAATTTAATTCATACGACTAAATCTATTGAACATATCCTTGAACCATTGTCAACAATGAAAACTAAACAAGAAAAAAAATCAACTTGTTTTAATGACGTTTTATATTCAATTGACTCTTTACATTGTTCAACAACATTTAAGAATGCTAAACGTCGACAAAATGAATTAGAAAAAAATCTGTCAAAATTAAGTATTCTAATATTTTGATGCTAAACACAAAAACAACAGCTCGCTCTTCCATTGTCGTATATTTCCTTTCTTTTCCTGTTCTTTTTTTTGCGTTGTTTTGATTTAAATAAATAAAAGATCTAATTTCAATACTATTGATTTAAAGATATGGATCTAAACTGAAAATTGAGAATAAGTCAATTTATTTGTGTGTCAAAAATTCTCATGTTCGTATGTTTTTATTTTCTTTTTCGTCTTACGGTGTGTGAAAAACAAAGTGCGGATGTTTTTTGGTTTATTTTTGCCATTTAACAATCGATTATTTCTCACTTTTTTGTTATAATATAAATTTCCTCTAACTTTTTGATTGATATCTATTTACTAAATATTTCTTCTTCGTATTGTTGTTGTTGTTGTTATTAAAAATATAAAAATACACTATGAGAAAAATGATTTCTCATTTCATAAGAAGTTATTTAACAAACGGAAACACGTCCGATAACGAACGAACCGCTAAATAGGTAAATAATGCTTTTCATTTCTACATCCGGTTTTATCAATCTAAGATCATTTATAACACAAAAAAAGAAAGAAAAATCTTTTGCTAATTATTATTCTTTCAGTCCGAAATAGAAAAAAAAAGATCGATTTTGTGTTTTTTTCTCATATCTATAGATAGCTTTTGTAAGGTATAATCAATGTGAGAATAAGTGCATGCACACCAAAGACGAGACATATTACAGATTGTTATTAAAGAATAGAACACTAGCAAATGCGATCGTGACAAAAAAGGAAAAATCGTACGATATTTTCCGATTGCACTTAACGGTTTTCTTTTTTGTCGTTTGAAAAAATCTGTCATTGTGCTCAATTAATGAGAAGAAGACGATCGGAAAAAAAAGGAGAGAACAATTGATAAACTAGCAATCTCGTCGATTAAAAACTTGTTTCTTCTATTCTTCTATCTTCCTTTTTTTTAATAATATGAAACATTGAACATAGACCTCTCATACTTATTTTCTTTCAAGATACTTACTCAATATTATATTTATTGATGAACATGGTGTGAATAACAAATTCAGTTATTAATTTAAAACCAAATATCTATCTATTATGGTTAAACGTATATTAAGTCTTCATAATATCAATGCGTGTGGACGTAAGTTATTAAAATACGTTTTTTGTTTCTCTATTTATTAAAAACAATAAGATAAGAAAATTTGAATTATTCTTATGCAGACACTCTTTTGACAAATGATCTATCTAGAGTGAATTTATTAATAATTCAAACTATAATCAAATAGAGTATATGTATATATAATAAGATATTACTTATTATCTCATCCTTGAATTCTATTGACAAGTAAATAATACTAATTTCCACAGCAAATCTCTCAATTTCTTAACTGTCAAATCTAATCTCAAAATTCATTTGTAAATAAGATTAAAAATAGTTCGATATATATGACTTAAATTCAAAAGAACAACTCTAATATGTATTATCATTATAATCCAGGTCAAAGAAATCATGATGATATGTACTTAGATAAAAGAAAGATATCTATAGAATGAAATACGATATAATTACAGTTAATATACGAGATAAATATATTCTTCTACATTTATGATGTTATTCCCCTTCCCGTACTCTAGGAGCTGTACCCTATAATTAGAAGTCTCGTCTAAAAAAATAGATCTGAAAGATTTGGTATAAACTCCAGGGCTTTTTTTATGCTAAACAAAAATAGCTTAAATAAAATGTACAATACTAATCTAGTGAAAGAGTTTTTTTTTAATTCATAAAAACTATTGTAGTTAAGAAGATAAAAGTCTCGAAGTTCATATTCTACTTTTTTCTTACAAATTTCTAATACGGATCTTCTCTAAACAGAAGCTCTCTCTCGAAATTTTGGACAGTTTATCAAGTCCGGGGGAATATTTGTATGTTCATATTTAAATTAGTATTTACTGCTATACATATTATGAAAATATTTGTTTTAGGCGATGATGGTGACACCAGTAGAAAACATTCATATGTAGATGATACAGAAGCTGCACTTCTTAATGATCGTACCAATGTAATTCCAATGACATCTATTAGTACTGATACATCAATACAAGAACATTCAAAAAAACAAAAAAATACTACAGTTGTCAATGTTCTAACAACTACAAATAAATCCAATCAAATACGAACAGAAGGTCGTGAACAATGGAGTGAAAAACTTGATTTTCTTTTATCAATTATTGGTTTTGCTGTCGATCTTGCTAATATATGGCGTTTCCCATATCTATGTTATAAAAATGGTGGAGGTTCGTTCTATGAATATTATCTATCACAAAAAAAACATTATCTTTTATTTTCGTAGGTGCATTTCTCATTCCATACGTACTCTCAGTTATACTAGGTGGAATGCCTTTATTTTATCTTGAACTTTTACTTGGTCAATATTATCGACAAGGTGCAATAACATGTTGGAAAAAAATTTGTCCATTACTGGCTGGTATTGGATGGGCTGTAACTATAATTGCATTCTATACAGATTTTTATTATAATGTTGTTATATCTTGGGGTTTATATTATTTATTTGCTTCATTTAAACGAATGTTACCATGGAGTGGATGCAGTATGTAAATAGTTTTTTTGTATAGTTTATTTCGTTAATTTTTCGTAATATTTATTTCAAGATAATCCATGGAATACAAAAGATTGTTCAACTGTTAATACACGTCGTGATTTTATGGATAATTGTACGAGTTATTTAAATAGTACAATAAATTCAACAGGAGAATTATTAGAATCAAATTTTATATATGAAAATTGTTCACAACAATTAACACAGTTAAGAATTGTCTCACCTGCACAAGAATATTTTCAGTAATCAAAAAAACTCTTCTTTTTTTTTTGTTTTAATTTTTATGTATTTATTCTTAAATTAGTTTACAAGTCTATCGACTTAAACCAGAACGAAATCTTAGTTTATCTAATCTAGGAAGTATTAATTGGGAAAATCTTGCTTGTCTTGGTATTATTTATATTATTTGCTATTTTTCAATGTGGAAAGGTGTTAAAACATCGGGCAAAGTATAAAAAACAAAAGCAGAAGTTAAATTTAGCAATCACGTTTCTTTTGGTTTTATTAAGGTTGTTTGGTTTACAGCATTATTTCCTTATTTTGTATTAACAATTTTAATGGTTCGTGGTTTATTTTTAAATGGTTCAATGAAAGGTATTGAATATTATATTCGACCTGATCTAAGTAAATTAAATGATGCGGGAGTGTGGGTTGATGCAGCTTCACAAACATTTTTTTCATTGGGTCCTGGTTTTGGTGTATTAATGGCATTTGCAAGCTATAATGATTTTCATCATAATGTTTATCGGTATGATTTTTTTCTGTTAAATAAAGATACGAATTTAACTTGTTTTTCGTTCTAGTGATGCAATGATTACAGTAGCAGTTAATAGTATAACAAGTTTTGCTAGTGGATTTGTCATTTTTATGTTTCTGGTAAGGATATTCGATAAATACGTTAAGTGAAACGAAATTTTCTTTCGTTATATAAACTATTTAGCTTAAAATATTTTCTATTTCATTTTCTAGGGTTATATGAGTGAAATATCAGGTCGAGAAATAAAAGATGTTGCTGAACAAGGCTCAACACTTGTCTTCATTGTTTATCCGGAAGCAATAGCAACAATGCCATGGGCACCTCTTTGGGCTATATTCTTTTTTCTAATGTTATTAACACTTGGTTTAGATTCATCGGTAATTATTCTCTAACATTTCTAAAGAAGATATACTTGACGTTTTCTTTTTTTTTTATAGTTTGGTGGAAGTGAAGCAATAATAACCGCATTAAGTGATGTATTTCCAGTTCTTCGACGTCATCGAGAATTATTTGTTGGAGTATTATTTACTTTTTATTTTATTATTGGTATACCAAGTTGTACTGATGCAGGTGTTTATTTTGTTGAATTACTACAAAATTATGCTGGTATATTAAAAAATTACTTTTTGTAAGAAATCAAATAAATTTTTCTCTTTATAGCTTTCTATTCAATTATTATTGCTGTACTTTTTGAAGCAATAGCTGTCTCTTGGCTCTATGGAATAAATCGAATTAGTGAAGATGTCAAAGAAATGCTTGGAAGTAAACCTGGAAAATTTTGGATTATAACATGGTGTCTCATTGCACCATTATTTCTTGGAGTAAATATGTTTTTCATCATTTTTGTTTTTCATATATATATATTTTTTTTCAAGGGTATTGTTCTTTCTGGTCTTATCCAACATGTCGCTCCTAATTATGGTAAATTAACTGATCCATACTATCATCAGGTTCGAAAAGAAAAAAAATAAATTCTTCGTTAAACTAATTAGTTAAATTAATATATATTTTAGTATCCAGATTGGAGTCATTTGGTTGGTTGGATGTTTGCATTATCATCAGTAATATTTATTCCAGTTGTAGCTATTTATCAATTATTAATGGAACGAGGAAGTTTATCAACAGTAATTTATTTATTTTTAAAAAGTAATTATATATATTATTTTTTATTTAAATAGAGATTTCGTTTGGCAATAACACCCTGGAAAGAACGAGAAAAACATGTTAATCCAGATATAGTAATTAGTACAAATTTTATTGAAACACACAATACTTCAGATGAAACTAATTAAATATGTATCTATCTTTGTCATTCATTCATTCATTCATTCGTTCATTTTTTTTTCTTATCCTTTTTATGTCGTTTGTATACACGTCAATATCTTTTTCCCTTTTTTTTTTTGAACACTGATTCTCTCATTACATATTAGTATATTTTACTTTGGCAAGGTCATTTGAATATATTTATGATTCAAATTTTTATTTCAAATATAATAAGAAAAAGGATATATAATGAATGAAAATCCCCATCTAAGGTCAGCATTTTCTTGCTACCTTATGTCATCTATCTCAATCAAACAAACGTCTTGTATCATTTTCATTTGTATAAGTCTACTATTACCTCGAAGTGCGCCCATCAACATTTGAACAGGATCAGTTTTCGTATACATATTCTTACCTCTACTTTGCATAAGTATATTAATGATAAGAGAAAGAATGAGAAAGGATAAGGGAAAAAAAAGGATCGATCATCCTTATAATTACTTGACATCGTAACTAAAGAATAGAAGTTGTGTTCTATTAAGAACAAAATTCAAAAAATGAAAGTAAGTTAGAATAATTATATATGTTAACGTATGATAATATGATTTTTCTAGACGATTTTGTTCATTATTTATATTTATTTTATTTGTTCTTCTATTCATGCTGGTAAATAAAATATTTTAAGAGAAGAAAAAACAAAATGATTTTTTATTTTCTAAAGAATTTTGTCATACGGATGATTGCCGTGGTGGTGATTGTGAAATGATAAAACTTCCAAATGGATTAATAAAGAAATCTTGTCATTGTGTTAAAGTTTGTTTATAAGAAAAAAGATAAAAATTCACTATTTCTTTTCCTCTCAAGGGTGTATGTGGTGATACATGCCAACGTCTATGTAATGCAACTTCACAATGTGATGCGAATCCATGTTGGTTTGGTGGTACTTGTATTGATGTGGCTAATTTAGATTTTGTATGTTTATGTCCACCAAATTATAGTGGAAAAGATTGTCGAACATTAATTTCTTGTAAATCTGATAGTTGCCATAATGATGGAACATGTATTCAAACCGGTATGAATATTTTCAAAACAAAAAGAAAAGAATTTTTTTGCTTTTAAATATTTAGCTTTTGGTGCTCGATGTGATTGTCCTGCAAATTTTCGTGGTGATTATTGTCAATATACAACAGCAGTAAAACCAAATAAAAAATTACCTCATGTTGAATATCGTCAATTTGATGATGAAACATTAGCAGCTATTTCTGGTTTAGGTTCAGCAAGTGCTAATAATCATGTAAATAATCAACGTACATTTGCTGTAGCAGTAGGTAATCGTTCACAATTTGTTTTCTGTTTAACAAATCCATGTGAAAATGGTGGAAGTTGTTTTATAACAAATTCTGCAACGACAAAAGTAAAAAATTAAAATCTAGAATAAAAAAATATTTAATAAATTATTCTAGGGAATTTGTGTTTGTCGTGAAGGATATATAGGTGATTATTGTGAAATTTTGTTTAATAAAACATCAAATGGTGTACGAATATATGGAGGTTTCTGTGCATCAAATCCATGTGTCAATGATGGAACATGTATTGAAATTGGAAATTTAAATGGTTATTGTCGATGTCCATCTGAACATCGAGGTCTTTATTGTGAATTAGCTGTACGATCATTTGGTTGTAATCCAAATCCTTGGTAAAAGAAATTGGAAATTTTGAAAACAAGTTTATATTTATTTTTCTATAGTAAAAATGGTGGAACATGTGTTGTATTAGAAAATAATCAAGGTAAGATCTAAGAAAAAAACGTATGTTTATTTTTTTTTCTTCTTTTGAACATTAATAGCACAATGTTTATGTACACCGGTATTTCGTGGTATAACATGTAATCAATTTAGTTATATCCCTTGTGGTGATGCTACGTGTCATGGTACACAAGTAAGAAAATATAGAAATAATTGAATTAAAATTTATTTTTGAAAATTTAGGGTGTATGTGTCGGAAATAAATGTGTTTGTAAAACAGGATTTGCTGGACCGAGATGTGATTCAACAGATTTTTGCTCAGCTTATCCTTGTCTTAACGGAGGTACATGTGTTCAAACGAATGAAGAACCTTATGGTGGTTGTAGTTGTCTACCAGAATTTTCTGGTCCAACTTGTAGTAATAATCCATGTAATCCATCACCATGTTTAAATGGTGGTTTATGTATACGTAAAGCAGATAATCAATTTTATTGTCAATGTCGAAATAAAAATCGTGGTGTTTATTGTGAACGTAAGTTTATTTTTTCTTCTTCTTCTTCTAATTATTAATTATTATTCTATAGAACAAGAATGTTTTCCATCGGATGCGACTGTTGAAGTTCTTGATATTGGAAAAATTCGATTATCTTCTTTAAAAATTGGTCAGAAAGTTCGAATTATTGATGATAATAATCAAATTGCTTATTCACCAATTATTGCGTTTCTTCATCGTGATCTTGATGAAGAAACTTTATATAAACGTATTCGTACAAAAAATGCTGTCATTGAATTATCTGATCGTCATTTAATTTATAGTCATAATAATGGATTTATTTGGGCTGAAAAATTAATAAAAGGTGATGAAATACTTGTTTTATCATCAAAATATGCGAATAAAACATATTGGGAAGAAATTCTTGATATAACTGATGTGAATAAAAAAGGTCTTATGGCTCCATTAACTGAACAAGGAACAATTATTGTTAATAATGTACATGCATCATGTTATGCTCTTGTTAAATCTCATACAATTGGTCATCTTGCATTAACACCTTATCGATGGTATCGTCGATTATTTGGACAATCATCCGATAATAATAATAATAGTATAACACCTATACTTAATTATGCGAATATACTTTTACATTTTTTTAAAAATTTACCTATTATTAAAGACTTTATTTTTTAAATTGTTTTAAAATATGTAGTAGTCGTAGATAATGATTGACATGTATCAGATTTCTTCTTCTTCTTCTTTTTAATTAGATATTACACATCGATCTGATTTTCGGAATAAAATTTTCATGAAATTTCTATAGAAATCAATAGTATCGATATACTTGGAAATATTCTGATACAATACAATGTAACATTACGTAAATGTTGAATCATTAGATAACTACAATATCATCATACTCATTAATCAATAGGTTGAGTTTAAGTCAGTTGTGTTTTTTTCTTCTTCTGTTACTGTTGTTAATCTTTTTAACGAATAGAAAAACAATGTAGCATATGTATGTATTACTAACTGTCTGTTACAGAAGAAGAGAATATGCCATTTATGTAAAGGATAGCATAAATTACGATCTTTGATACATAAGAAAAAATATCGAGTTGGTATAAAGAAGTGATATAGAGTACAATGTGGTCTCGACAGCTGTTTATTGTTTGGTTTTTTGCTTTGACTATTTTAGCAACACAAAGTCATGTTATTCATGTATATGATTAATAATTTATTTCGTACAAATTTTCATGTTTACACATATATTTGTTTTAGAAACGTGGTTTAATTTCAAAATTATTTGGTGGAAGTTCAAAATCAAAGGGTAATGTTGAAAAAGATTTACCACCACGTGAACGATCAAAATTCCGAGAATTACTTAAAAATCCAATTGTTATAACTATGCTTAGTAAAATGAAAATATTTTTGTTGATAAATACCTCGATTTTTTCATTCAATAACTAGGTGCTGCTGTTGGTATGGTTGTTCAACAAGCGTTAGCTGCAAAAAATATGAATGATGTTTGTGACAATAAATATGTTAAAATGGCTTATCAAGTTGGAAGTTTTAGTCCTGAATTATTTCAAGTACTTAATTTACTTGGCTGTAATGGACCTAATCGAAAATATGGTTCATCAACAATTCCAACTGATAAATATGCAACTGTACCAGGAAAAGGTTTACCTACACCGTCTCCAAGTATGCCAAACGATGAGGATCAAGAAGAACAAGAAGAAGAAGAAGAAACAGATAATCAAGATGATGGTGATACTTTAGAAAGTGGTTTACCACCAGAAAAAGAATCAAAAATTAAACAATTACTTAAGATTACACGTGGTGAAAAAGGTGCAAAAAGAAATTTTCTTAAAAGTTTATTTGGTGGAAATAAAAATGTAAAACCATTTAAATCTGGACAAAAATTACCATCATCATCATATAAATTAGATAAAGATGATGCAAATTCATTAAAACAACTTGAAAAAGAACTTGAAGAATATAACAAAGCAATTCATTAATATCTTTTCTTTTTTTTCTGTAAAGCTTCTTTTTTTTCTTTGCTTAATAAACAAGTATATATAATCTAAATAAAGAACAAAGATGATATATTTTTTCCTCTATCTTTTCTCTGTATTTCTCATTATCCATGAGCTAGACCAAATACATATATATATTTGTATACATGTCTATTTCTGTTACATCACGCGCATATATATCTTCTACGCGATTCTATCAGAAAAAAGAACAAGAGAAAAAAGAGAGCGAAGCCAAAAGAAGAAACTTGTATATTTTTTTCCGGTAGTAAGAAAACAAAAAATATAGAAGAGAAATAGAGGGGATAAAAACATCGATCTTAGACTATTTCCTATTCATTCATATAACTACATACAAAGAAGCGATAACTACAAAATATAACATGAGTTCCGCAGAAGGCAGTGAGTATTTTTTTTATTATACATAGAAGATATAAAAAATAAATACATTTATTTTATTAAATAGACGATAAAATGATTAAAGCAGCTGAAATTGCTGAAGCAAAAATTACCAATACAGAAACACCAGCTTTTGATCCTCACAAAAAGGCTGATGCAGAAAATCAAGGTCATCTTTCAGGTGATCAAACAACATGTAAAGAAACTCCAGTAGCTCCAGTTGGTGCAACACCTGACACAGCTATATAAATAAATGAAAAAAAACAGTTGCTAATTTTTTTTTTCTTTATTTTGAAATACTTTATGTGTGTGTGCGTGTGTGTGTGTCAGTCAACGTTTGTTGTGTATAATCCTTCAGATAATCAAGCGATTTTGTACTATTCACCGAAAAACACTTATATATAACCATTTGTCTACTCTTCTTTTTTGAAATGTAAAAAATTAAGATCGATTTAAATAAAAAATATCTTGTTTGGACGATTATTAAAAAAAAGAAGGTCGTTGTTTTCCAAACTAGTTTGATGATATACGGAATTATCGTATACAAGAGATAATGATCGATGAGAGTCAAACAGAAAATCAACAAGATAAACGACAATGTTTAAAAAAAACTAATTGTACGATAATTGTAACGTTCGATATTTTACAAAACTTATTTTTGCCTAAACCTTAGAGTTCTACTCAATGACATTATACTCGTATTTCTTATGATTCAGATCTTACTATCGTAAAGAATCATCTAGAACCTCTGATTCATCGTCTCCAGAAGCTCGGTTAGTAATACAATGAAAAGTAAGTCAAACGTTATAATAAGCTAAATGTACTGAATGAATCATACACATTCACATTGTAATTACGAAAAAAGAAAATATTTTTCAAATGATATGAATTGTATGTTGCCTTAATTACTAACACACAATGATTCATCTATTTATAAACAAGAATAGACATTATCAGACTTCTGATTTTATGATTAAGACAGTTAATAAAATCATTTTCAAAGGCATATGTTACTGTATGTTATTTCTATTCAGATAATTCTACATGAATATCTATTAGACAAAACTCCTGGGTAGTTCTATTCTATATATCAACATAACATTTTTTTCCGACGAAAACAATCTTCCGTCAAGTCACCAAGAAGATAATGTTATGACAGCGTAGACAACTTTTGTCTACTTGGGATAAAACGATATATATGAAAACAAATGTTTTTCTTTTAATAAAATGATTGATTTACTCTTTTTCATTTGATAATTAATCTTCATATTTTAAATAAATACTTTTTTTTATCTAATGATTAAACATGATCGATTATTAGATAAATTTTGAAATTTAAACTCTTAATTTCAAGTGATCAACAATTCATCTATTTCTCTTTTATCCGTCCGTCCGTTAAACTGTTTGTTGTTCTACTATCTTCATATATGCAATTTTAACCTAGGACGGATGAGAAAAAAAAAACATTGTTGCTGCCATATGTATATATCTATTTGTTCTTGTTCGTTCGGTGGTGTGACGTTCACACTTAGATAAACAAATACGGTTAAATATTCTTCTTCATTTTGACAAATAGATACATTCAAATAGACCATACATACATACAACTGTATCTACGACAATATCGAATAAAATTATGTACAATCGCCTATATTAGATTTTAATTTGTAAGTGTATTTTTTTATTCTAATCGATCGATTTATATACTTCAAGTAAAATTTATGAAATAATACTCGGTACTACTAGAGTACAAAGATCTATTTCTTAAGAAAATAATTTGTTTTTGTTTTCTGATCGAAAGAGCAGTACATATGTACGTACATATAGTAAAGTATATGAGAACAAGTACATAAATTGCTTTCTAGTATAATAGTCATTTATTTAACGTTTAAAATAAAACTAGTCAATGATAGACAATTTATCGAATTAGTCTGGGTTCACTTCTCTGATACTTAGAATAGAAACATGATGTTCTAATCATTTACGCTTTCAATTCTATATGTTCATTCATTAATTGTTTACAGTCATATTGTGGACTATATGATATAGGTATATATATATATATATGAATGTATGACATTGTATTTTCTTAGGTTGATCAATTGTTATTTCTGTTGCTGCTGTTTCACACTTGAACGTTAATTTGTAAGCTATTTTTATATGTGTTGCTAAACTAATTTGTTTCACTTTGTCTAGATTATATATAGAACGAATTTTATCATTATTTGTAAAAATTTAAAACGAAGCAAAATGTCATTGTCGTCGTCTGTTTATCAAGCTCAACGAGAAGCTTATCGACATAAACTTATGTTTGAATTAATGTTTCGTGATGAAGAACAAGTCGATTTAAAACGATATATTCGAGCCTTTGTAAGTCTACTTTATAAACAAAATTTATCTT